ATTCAGACTAAAGGAACCAGCCTGTTTGGAAAATGTGAGAAGTAGAAAGTACAGGTATTTGTGTTCAACATGTAAGAAGTAGAAAGTACAGGTATTTGAGTTCAACATGTAAGAAGTAGAAAGTACAGGTATTTGTGTTCAACATGTAAGAAGTAGAAAGTACAGGTATTTGAGTTCAACATGTAAGAAGTAGAAAGTACAGGTATTTGTGTTAGAAATGTAAGAAGTCAAAGTAAAAAGTCGTCAGAAAAATAAGTAGTGGAGTAAAGATACCAGAAAAATGTACTTAAGTACAGTAACAAAGTATTTGTACTCCACTACTTCCCACCTCTGCTGCTTTGTAAAAAGATAAAAGACAAGATTTAATTGATTGAGTCCCAGCATCTTGATAAATAAAGTTATGCACATAATTTGAAAAGTAAACACAAATAAAATGTAACATCTCAAAATAGAAAAATTAAACCGAACAAAATATATACAAGTTGACCGTGAAAGATACACATTTTCCCCATTTACTGTGGTACAGTAAAGGTTTGTTGTCTCACTACAGTAATGGCTCTGTGTGAGTAACGACGTACTATAGGAGTCATTTACAATTTCTCAACAAAGACTTAGTGCAAGAGATATTTAAGGTAGCCTAAATAAGATTATTATTTTAGTCAACTTTATTGTCAATCAAGTTTGTGTGTGCAGAGAGATCGAAATACCGTTTCCCACAATCCCGATTACAAAAACAAATATGTATGAAACATGTATATCCTATACAAAATCAACAGACACATTTATACACATGCACACATTAAGGTAAAAACACAACAATCAATATATACAAAACAACAGTCACTTCAATATCTTTGGGAATGCACATTAGTTCCAGACTGTCCATAGCAGTGTAGAAAGTGTCTGGTTTTGAGTGTCTGAGTGTGTGCGTGGGGTCTCACTCTGTTACAGGAAATGCATCACTCTTTGTTGGTAAAATCCCTGCAGATGAACTTAACACTGTTTCTGTTCTTTTAGAGGCACTTTTTGGGCGAGCACCATTCGCATCAAGATCATATGCTGAACTGGAGGAGAAGATCCGGAGTAACCAACCTATTGAGGTCAGATTCGTGAAATTAATTAGTTATTTATTCGTGACATTTTGTTAATATCACAACATACTCACTGTGCACCCTGGTGGTGTGAAATAAAGCTCCACCGTGCTACGTATTCCTCACTTGATGGATACTCAAAATGTCACAAACTCTAATTTCATAATGAACTTTATTTAAAGAGCACGTTTCATACAACAGATGCACCATGACGTGCAATAAAAAGCACATTTTAAACAAGGCCAAAAAGACAAAACACTTTGATATCAAGACTGTGGATATAGTAATAAAATAACTAAAATATATAAAAGAGAATGATTGAAGAACATAATGGGAGCTACATTCATTATAAGCCCAGTTACATAAATAGACAGTCACATGACATGACATGTCATATTATGTCTAGATTATCTGTAGAGCACATTGCTTTTGGAAAAGGACTAGATGTCAGTTTGCCACTGCATCAAAGGTCAGAGTTACTCACTATTGGTATGAGACTATTAGAAAGTGTACACACACTAACAACGCCTGGGAATAAGAGAACTTAAATAATAAATAATATTTGATGAGGCACCTCAGTGAGCATGTTATTCTTGTAGTTACGTTTTTATTGCTCACACTGAACAACAGCTGTAATTAAAAACACATTACCCCTGACTCGTGAGTTTTCTCTCCCAGTATTTGTGAATCTTTGCCATTAAACCACTAGGTGGCAGACTTTCACACTTTACCCTCGTCCCCCTCAGGACTCAGTCACGATTCAGGTACCTTTATAAAGTTAAATGGAAAATCTGGGATAGAAATAAAATACTCTTTTGTCGACAGGCCGATACAACATTTACAATTATGACCTGTTATTAAAAAAAAAACATATCTCTACCATAAGTTGATTTTTTAAAAAGGCCCTTTTCTGTTTTTGAGTCTTCCCTTCCCTGTAGTGTGTTCTGTAGGTTTTAGTGCATGTAAATGGTCGGCAAAGGCTAAAGTCCCTGCGTTATGGCCCTATACATATTAATGTGCATGAACTCCCATGTAAAAATAAACGTAACAGACTGCTTGAAACTAAAGTAATATCTGTGTCGCCGTCCTAGTCGTGTGTGAACATTTGATTTTATGATTATCCCGGACAAATATATTGCAATTCATTTTATCCCAATAATCGTCTATACAGACATAACACTCTGAAAGTGGCACTTGAACAAACTGGACTAACGAGTTACAGATATTTAACTCTAAATTGACATTACAGCTGATTGCATGCACACACAACCTGTGTATCACCTTTATAACAGTGGAAGATGACGGTATACTGTAAAAGATGGAGGGCTTTCACAACACTTGTCTCTCTTGTGTAGACTGGAGCTAAATGGATTAGCATATGGCTCATTACCCAGGGATTCACTCAAGAGTTTTAAGGTCATCTTTAGATTTTTCCTTGTGAGACTTGAAGGTCTTTGGCAACAATCCGCTGTCCTTTTCCCCGGGGATTGTCCTGTGGATTTACTGCAACATAATAAGGTCATGTTTTGTGCCTCAGCTGCCTCCCGGGGCCCGAGTATCCAAGAACTGCAGAGACCTTCTTCTGCGGCTGCTGGACAGAAACCCTGACGCCCGGATCACCTTTAAAGAGTTCTTCACGCACCCTTTTGTGGATATGGAGCACATGCCGAGTGCAGAAAGCCTAGTGAAAGCGGTGAGAAGAAAAAGGAAGTGTACGCTGATGGGAAGTAGTGGAGTACAAATACTTCGTTACTGTACTTCAGTACATTGTCCTGGTATCGGTACTTTACTCCACTACTTATTTTTCTGACGACCTTTTACATGTTGAACACAAATACCTGTACTTTCTACTTCTTACATGTTGAACACAAATACCTGTACTTTCTACTTCTTACATGTTGAACTCAAATACCTGTACTTTCTACTTCTTACATGTTGAACACAAATACCTGTACTTTCTACTTCTTACATGTTGAACACAAATACCTGTACTTTCTACTTCTTACATGTTGAACACAAATACCTGTACTTTCTACTTCTTACATTTTGAACACAAATACCTGTACTTTCTACTTCTCTCATTTTCCAAACAGGCTGGTTCCTTTAGTCTGAATGTGTGTTTGGTGGCGTGATCATTATTATTTAGAGTCATTGCGTGCCTATTGATTTGAACACGATCCGTGTATCCATCATTTCCTGGTCTTCTCTAAAGAAGAGGGACCAATGGAAACGTTGTCATGTTGCCGTTGTTCAGCATGGAAACATTCATTAGCTAACAATGACATTATTGTTCTATTAATATAAAGGGAGGTCAGGTACTCTTTAAAACAGCTGCTAGTTATGGGTACTTTTTACTGAAGTACATTTCAAAGCCTCTTTACTT